GCGGGGGGGGGGCTTTTTCTGATGCTCGCCTTTTAAATATTTATAGGGTTTTGCTCGCTATAATCCAGTTATGCGACTTATCTGAATCTGGTTCAGCTCAAAGAAGTGTGTGTCATTAACATCTTAAACACCCGACGATCACAAGCGGTACTTGGGGAAAAATGGACTTGTCATCTGGAAAAATACAGAGTAATCCACCCTCGCTTTCTGGCTAAGTGAACGGGAAAATGAGGATTAAAAAGACTCGGTAGCCAAGGGACATTAAAGCTACTGATCTTCCCCATTTAAATCCCGTCCACTGGTTCAGTGGCAGAGGAGTCTCGGGGCTCTGCTTTTACTGCTGTACCCCATGGAGAGAAGGGTCCAGACCCCGGGGCCGGCCCTCCGTCGTGCCCTGCTCTCCCCGTCGTGGCAGCGACGGCTCTCGAGGAGTTTTCCATCCCTCCTGCATCGCGTTCAGAGAGACAAAACTGAATTTAAAACCCAACCCGTAGGCTGGCGAGAGGCACGGAGCCGGCCCTGCCGTCCTCGGCTGTGCCTCGCACGTCACGCAGCCCCAGCCCGGGGCCCGGGGGGGAATTTCGCCTCGCCTGCCACCCCCGGCCAGCGGATCTCGCCTGCCCCGGCCCATCTGGCCGCGCCCCAGGCGATGGAAACTGTTAAACACAGTTTGGAGCAGAGCTGTGAACGCACATCCAGGAGCTTCCCGGCAGCCTGCCATCCGTGCCCCCCCTCCCCGCCCGCGCTGCCGGCGTTCGCCTCCCTCCTCCATGGCTGGAAACCTCTTTTTCAGCTTCAATTTGGTCAAACTTAAACCTGCCCAGCAGGGAAGGGAGCAAAAGCATCCGGCTCGTCCCGCCGCTCGCCCAGGCAGCGGTGAGCCGGAGCAGGGGACAGAGCACGGGCCCGGCATCCCCCCACCCTGTGGCCTTGAAGCAAAATTACAGCACATCACCCAAGCTGGGGAGCAGCTTTTCCAGGAGCTTCCCAGCGCCACGGGCAAGGCCGATGGTTTTCTCGCCACCCCGTGCCCTTGCGTCTTCTTGCGTGCTTTGCCTGCTACTAAACGCTCCCGCTTCGCTTTCAGTGCTTTTACCTTCATTTCTCTGACTGCCCGGTGACAAAGAGCTCTGTACTGAAAATACACGCCTCCTGCCAACCCCTCTCAGTGACCAGCGTCTCCCAAGGCCTCCGTGATGTGCCTCCTGCAGCCCTCCGGTCCTCTCGATAGCTCTCTCGTCCTTCACTATTTCTCTAGTAAAATAAAATAAAATAAAAAATAATCGGCGTGCACAGAGGGCGATTTCCCCACGCGACACCGACTCAACGCGGGACGCCGCCACATCCAACCTCTCTAATAAGGCGAACTTCATCCAGAGCCTTTATTAGACGAGCAGCTCTCAAACAGAAACCACACTTCTATTAAATCAGCATCAAAACACGCCAGCGTCAGCGGGCCCTGAACAAACCCGGGGGCAGGGAGGGGTGCGGCGGGGCCGCGTGCCTCACCTTCAGCAGAACGGGCCGCAAAGTGAGCCGTTTTCCTCAGAAACTCCTCCCGGGGGGAGAGGGGTGCGGCGGGCCCGCGTGCCTCACCTTCAGCAGAACTGGCCGCAAAGTGAGCCATTTTAACTCCTCAAAAAGCCTTCCCGAACCGTGAAACCGCGCTGCGCGCTGGGGGCGTTCCTGTGCTACGGCCGCGCACAGCCCCAGCCCCCCGCTAGGGCCGGGTGGGGGGGGGGTTTTTTAATGATTACAAGGAAGAACAGAGGGTTCACCTCCTTCTCGTACGATCACCTTTTTTTCTTCCCTTTAGGAAAGGAGGGAGACCTGGCGAGTTTAGCAGCACTGGGGAGGCCAAGCAGACGATGCCCAAGGGAAGCCGAAGCAACTCGTTCGGCGTCTCGCTCCCCTCACGCGGGACGGAGAATCGCTCTCTGTCAAACGGCTTCCCCGGGCCTCCCGGCCGCGCAGGGAGGCTTCTGGCAAAAACCAGGGAAGAGAAAAGCGGCTATTTCCAACGTTAAAAAAAAAAAAAAAAATCAAACAAAAAGCGACGTCGAGTCCTTCCAGGTCACCTCCCCGCAGCTGCGGAGCGCGGGGGAGAGGCGGCCGCCCTCGTGCTCCCCTCCCGACGCGTGCTGCGCGGGGGGACGCCAGCATCCTCCAGCGCTGGGGGGCTCCCAGCGGGAATACGTGGGAGTTCGACAGTTTGCTTACTTTATTCTTTTCTTTTTTTTTTTTTTTTTTTTTTTTGTTAATCAGTGGCTCTGTGTAAACCTCAGTTAAACGTCAAGCGCGTTCTGCTGCCACACCGAGGGAACGTCTGCAGCCAAACTACACCACGCGCAAACTCCTGGCTTTAAACCCCGGCAGACGACAACGCCTCCCAGGTCCCCGAGCAGGGTGGGCAGCGCCGGGAGGCCGGACCCTCCTCGCGCCCAGCTGGAGCCAAACATCCTTCTTGCACACGGTCCCGGGGGATCAGCAGAGCTGTATAAAAAGGTGCGAGCCCTCCCCGCACGTCTGTCCGGTGCTGCCGGCGCCTCCGGCCATCGCCCAGTTTATACGTTCCTAGCAAAATCCCTTCGAGAGACATCGAGGAGGGTTCGAGCGAGGCCTGGGGACAGTGCCGCCTCGCAGCCCTCTGCACAGTTCGGGTCTGCCCCGCTCCTTCACCGCAGCCGACGCCGGCTGCACGCGGGGCTCAGTAAATCTTCTGTCGGCTGGGCAGGATGGCCTCCTTGATGAAAGAGAAGATGAGGAGGATACCGGAGCGCTTGCCCCTCTTCCCCTTGGTGAAGTAGTTGGAGACCACGTCGTCTGCGGAGAGGAGGGAAGAACAATCAAACACAAACCCTCTCGACGGCCACGGGAGCCCTGGGATGGGTCGCCTGATTTTGGGGCGACGCATGAGCTGCCTTTAAAGCACGGAAGTTTCTGGTTTGCTCACGTCTGGCCTAGCTGGGTGTTCCAGTAAGCCACTGCCAGGGAGCCCCGGTCCCGAGCTCCCTTTCTTGAACCGTAGGGAGAGTCCAGGGAAAGTGACAGGGCCCCCGGACTGGAGCGATGCAGGACGCAAAGCTGGAACAGCCCTCCGCTCTGCTCACCCTCACCCTGCAGAAGCCCCCCCTTTCCCGCCTCGGCTTTCGGAAGGGTTTTACCCGACCAGCTGCCCCCCTTCCCTCCTCCGTGCAACGGGAACGGGGTTGCGTTGAGCACAAGCCCCCGTCAAAAACCAGCGGGTGTCTGCCCGGGCCTCGGGAGCGCTCACCTCCGGGCTGCACCGTGGAAGGCAGGACGTTCTCTCCGGCCGACAAAGAGACGAAAAAAGCAAAAGGGATTAACCACAGGCAGAACGTGAAGTAGGCGAGAACCTGCGGGCAGAGCAAGAGCGGCCGTGAGAGCAGAGCCCCAACGCACCCAGTGGCCCTTCACACGCTGACTTCTGTCCGGGCTGACGCCCACGAGTGCTGCCTCAGCCCCAGCTGTACCTCCCCACGACACACCCCAAGCTCCCACCTGAACCCCTCGAGAGAAAGGGGGAAAACCGCAACTCAACCTCTCCCGAGTCTCTTGGGTGCCGAGACAGCGTCGCCCTGCGAAGCTGGTAAGGGGATAAAATTCACCCAGCAAGTTCCACGGAAGGCCAGGGCGCGCAGGAAAAGCCCTTGCTCCTGTCCTAGGCATCCAAAAACCTTCACTGCTCCCAAAACCCGGAACTTTAAAGAGCACAGTTAAACAAGCAGGAAATTGGCTGTGCTGTTATGACTAATTAAATCCTCTTCACACCTTCCAGGGACTAAAAGGAAGAGTCAAGACCTGAGCTTGCTCCTCCTGCCCCGGGGTGGGACGCTGGTGCGGCACGAGGAGCCGGCGCCCGGGGGAGCAGCCGCTGTGGTTTGGGGAGAGCCGAGCCGAGAGGTGCCGAGCTGCCGCACCAGCCTCCTCGTGCGCGCAAACGCCGGAGAAGTGTTAAACTCCATAAAAAGGTCGTTGGTTTTTCATTTTGGTGGAGGGTTTTTTGTTTGTTTGTTTGTTTTTAAGATTTGCGCTAAGCGGCAGCTACCGTTGGGCCCAAACAAGCCCCTCTGTGAATTCGGACCTTCGTCTTGGCCGGTGCGAGGGTGGCGAGACAGAAGAATCAGCACGTCAGAGACATAAAAATAATGAGGAGCGATTATGCCAAAAGGGAAGGGATTTGTGGTTAGCTCGTAAAAAAAATGAAAAATAGTATTATCTTCTATTTTCCCTAGTTTTTAGCATTTCAGGAAAAAATCTGCGCTTAAGATTCAGTACTTCTGCCCCTCAGCTGGCTGAGAAAGCCCCAAGTCCACACCTGAGAAAAGAAACTGCAGCTTCCCTGGTACTTCTGAGGGAACGAGCAGAGGAACCCCCAGGGAAGGGCTGCAGAAAACATCCTCAGTGCGTCTTAACTGCTGACCGAAAAAATGGCATTTTCCTCTCCCTCCTCCCACCAGCAGCTCCACGCTGGCTGGAAGAACACGGACCGACTCCTTCCCAAAGGCCTCTCACCTCAGAGAACAGGTAATACTCCTCAGCGAAGTACTGGAACGCTAAGTAGTGATTGAATATAACCAGCGCTGCCAAAAGAAAACACAGCACAGTCAGTCTCCAGCCTGGAAGGAATACCATCGGCGTCTTCCAAGGCCCCCCTGACAGAGCCCCTCCACCTCCGCTGCCGCGGACCCCACGAGGAGCGGTTCCTCCCCGCCGCGCGTCCCCTTCCCCGCCGCCCCTGTACACCTGGAATCCTGCTGCCGCCGCCCCTCACCTGGAATCCTGCTGCTGCTAAAATATTATTCTAGTGAGAAATGGTGCGAGCAGCCGGAGTCGTCGTCGTCGTCGTCCCCTCGTCGTCCCCCCCAGCCCCCGCCATCCCAGCTCCATCCCGTTACTCCGTGCAGCCCCGGTCGAGTCCCTCGTCCCTCCGGTGCTTTATTCTCCGTGTCCCGGCACGGAGGGGCACCCCGGGGAGCCTGACACTTGCTAATGCTGCGCGGCGCTCAGAGAAGAAGCGAAAAACCCCACGTCCCCGACAGCTGCCGCAGTTTACAGATGGCAGAAGAGCTGCTCTCCAAGTCAAGCCGAAATGCCGCCAGGACAGTAGGGTTAGCGCTGTCCTCAGCAGCGAAAACCACCACTTAGCTCTTCAGAGGCAGGAATCGGAGCTTGGTTTTTGCCTTTTATTTGAGATGCCAAGCGCTCAGAGAAGAAGCGAAAAACCCCACGTCCCCGACAGCTGCCGCAGTTTACAGATGGCAGAAGAGCTGCTCTCCAAGTCAAGCCGAAATGCCGCCAGGACAGTAGGGTTAGCGCTGTCCTCAGCAGCGAAAACCACCACTTAGCTCTTCAGAGGCAGGAATCGGAGCTTGGTTTTTGCCTTTTATTTGAGATGCCAAGACAGCAGCCCCAGCCCAGGAGCAGCGGGTCAGCAGAGCCCCAGCAAGAGACGGCCCCGACGCGAAACGCTGCGTCCCGCGCTGCTTTATCACCCTCTCCGGCCTAAGGACGTCACCGAAGGTCCAGATGAAAGTCCAGGTCCGCCAGAAAACGCAGCTCCTGATCTACGCACCACGGGAGAGCTACACTCACTTCCAAGTAGCGGATAAAATCCTGCCTACGCGAATGCTTTGAGGAGCAAAGGGATTTTAGTCGTACACAGACAGCACCCTGAAATATGCATAAGGACTCCAGAAAGTCACGCTGGAAGAAATTTTGCCCGTTCGCTGCTTAAGGCGTCACTACAAATCACTCAGAGCAGAGACCTGAAGTCAGATCCACGCACAGGACGCTGAAACAGGCAGGAGGCTCCCTACTCCCAGGTTCAGCCTACGACGTGGCTCTGGCCGTCCGTCAGCCGAGCGCGGCAGGCAAACAACTAAGCCGCCTCCTTCGGCCAAAATATCGGTGCTGCTAATTTAAGCCCCTGCCCGACCCCACACCGCAGCCCCGCGCCAGCCGCTCGGAAGAGAGGAGAGACCCTCGTGCCCGTCTCGCGCCAGGGCTCGCCCAGGCAGCCCGCAGCCCAGCCGGGGATGGAGCCACAGCGGCCGCAGAGACGGGGTCGGCAAATACCACGGGGAAGGTGCAACCGTGGAAAACAAAAATCCCCGATCCGAGCTCGGCAATGCGCTTTTCTAACAGGACTTTCTCCAGTAACCCTGACGGATTTCCACATTAATTGCGGACGTTTGTCCCGAAGCTTTTCTTTCTCTAAAGATCAGCTCCTCACGATGACACGCGCACCGTCTCGCACAGCCCAGCGTGACATCAGGCTGTAATTACACGCGCCGGGCTTTTTAGTTTGCTTCAAAACCCTCCGGCTCTTTATCAAGACCCAGCGAACGCCCAGAACAGGGGGCCTGCGGGGAGGGAGCTTTGGGCCAGCCGGGATCCCATTTTCCTAGTGCTGCGCTGCGAGTTTGGAGTGGAGCCGGCCGGAGGGCGAAGCAGAGGCTGCCCGGGGAAGCCCGGTGTCCCCAGCTCTACGCCGAGGGCGCGCAGTCCAACGGGCTTTCCACACCACCGGGCCCAGCCCACAATT